ACAAGTGGATTCCAAAGTCCACAAACACTAACAATCAAGGATCCAAAGTTATACGAGTACCAAAGAACAAAAATTTAATTATTTTGTAGGTATCAAAGAAAATAAAGGGCAAACAGTCTTGAGTTAATGGATGTTTGAACATATAATTGGGAAACAAGCTCTATTCTCAAAAAGAAAGAATGGAGTTCAAAATGAAAGGATTGGAGTCAAGAAACACTCCAAAGAGTTCATCAACCAAATTGGACGATCAAGGTAGTTTCGTATACACATCAAAATATTGAGGTATGGTCGAACTTTTCTTACTTAACTTATAGTAGACTTGATATTATGTTGGGTACGAGCTTATGCGCCATATTTCAATATGATCATAAAGAATAGCACATTTGCATCGAAAAACGGATTTTTAGATATCTTAGTGGCACTGAGACATTTGATCTTTGGCATCCAAAGGTACCGACCTCGATTTACTAGCTATACGAAAAATTAATTGGCCAATAGTTTTTACTAATCCTCTAGCTCTTGATAGACTTCACATATTTGAAGAAGTTCGAAAACTCTAGATGAAATTGAAATATGTGACTAATATGTTTGCTTTATGCCTCTATAATAATAAATTTCAAAATTTTATTAAAAATAGGGAAACAGACGTCCGAATTGACAAAAAGTAAATCCAATATTATGTATTTCAAATTGAATGTGATGTATTATGTTTTGATATCAATTGTTCAATCTTATTTTCAAGCTTCAATAAGAAGGATAGTGGTCTTGATGCTTTTGAAAATAATGTCAAAAAAAAAATAAAAAATCATTGAAATTATTGGTAATCACCCATCTTCTTTTATTGAAAATTGTTTTCTTAATAGATAACATTAGGCAGAATCTATTTTATTTTTAGTCAATTTTATCATATCAAACTTGATTCTTCCTTATTAAGGATGCTACATCAAAAGGAGTAATGTTTATATAAAGCCAAAATAAGGATGTTTATGAATTTAAAAGTGAAGAAAAATGTTTATCACATTTTAGAAGATACTTGATTGTGGCATAAAAGATTAGAGTCATGTTTGCATGGATCAACTTTCAAATATCTCCAAAAATTGTTTTTGATAAATGTATGCCATATTTGAAATTTGAGAAACAGAAAATTTGTGGCATGTCAATTCGAAAAATAAGTGTAGAGCTTCTTCTAACTTAAACAATATTCTTCAACAACAAAACATGTTCAATTTCTTCACATGAATCATTTTGAACCATCTAGATTCACAAGCTCAAATGGTAGGTATTACACTTCGTTGTTATTGATGACTATTCTAGATTTCTTAAGTCCTATTTTTGAACCTAAAGATGAAACTTTGAATAATTTAAACTCTTTGAAGAAAGGTTCAAAATGAAAAGGGATACACTATTATATGTTTGAAGTGATCATGATGGAGAGTTTGATCATTTTGATTTTGATGACTTTTTTTTTTTTTTTAATGGCTATGAACATTATTTCTTGGCTCCTAGAACTCTTCAATATAACAGTGTGGTAGAAAGGGAGAATCATACATTGTTAGAAATAGCTCAAATTATGAAAATGGTTTCCAACAATATTTTCTTTTAGCATTGTGTTCTATGTTAAGAGTAAATTTTTTTTGGTGAGTTTGCATTTTTGACATATAGTGTTTTTCAAAATTATTTAGTTGCAAATTTTCTTAAACACTAAAATTTGGGAATTATTAATGAATTTGAACAATGTGGTTAAATTGAATTTATACTGAATGTTTTCGTATGATTGGTTGGAATGTATATAGATCTTATCCAAATGATTATACTTTCGTCATTTCATACTTTGATTAATATTTTTACTATAAAGTGTTGATTATTCTCTTGTTTAAACCTGCACATATTTGGCATCTTATGATTAATTGATGGGGAATATATTACTATTTTCTATGGTTGACTTAAAGTGTCGATCTTATATGACATACTCTACCTATATGCTAACTTTTTGAGATAGGATTTGAAAAACATTATATTTCTTATTTTAAAAAAATAAGGGAATACATGTATAAAAGATAGGGGGAAATGTGATATCTAAATATTTTCTATGGTCATGTTTTGATCTTAAATGTTATATCTTTTTGCTTATGCCCAAGGGGGAAATATAGGGAGATGATTATGCATGCTTTGAATTGAAAATATAATATGCATGTAGTGAGATGATTATGCATGCTTTGAATTGAAAATATAATACGCATGTAGTGAGATAATTATGTGTGCTTTGAATTGAAAATCTAATATACTTGGAGTATATGAACAAGAGGAAAAAAGTGAATTTATGCTTTAAATATGTGGTTTTTGATTTATAAAAGTAAGGGGGAATAGAATTATGAGATAAATTCATAATGTATATTCCTTTATCAAATTGATATAAATTGTTCAATTCTATCTTGCAAATTATCTTGTTTGTTATAATTAAAAAGGGGGAAATTGTTGATCTATAGTTGACTTCGTTCTCAATGTTTTGATCATAATAAACAAAATTGATATTGTTTCAAACAATTTATTTTGAGTAATGATAGGTCAATGTTAAAATCTATCAAGTAACATATATTAGACTTGAAATGAAGATCAAATTGGAAGTTGCTTATACATTCAAGTCAAATCATTCGAGACGAGAGCTTAAAAGATAAAAGTCAAGCATTAAAGACCAATGACAAGAAAAATGAAGATCAAAAATTCAAGAACCAAACATGGAAGAAACTTCGGAGGAAGATCAAATACTTGATTTCTTAGGCAAAATGTAAATGTACTAACATTTTTTATATTTGTCAATGAATGGTTAAGCTCAAAATCCTTCTATGTATTAAAAATAATTTTTGTACATAAAAAGCCATTCCAATGCAATGTTTTGATCAAATATAAAATGACTTTTAAAAGTGCTATTTTGACTTTAAAAAATATTTTTATCATGAAAAATTAGCTAAAAATATTTTCCAAAGGTCCATGCACTTCAAAACTTTCGAATTGGAACAAACAGGGCCAAAATGTAAAAACACTGCGTTGCTGGGCAGTCAACCGCCTAGAGAGGCAGTTGACCGGACCGAACACCCTTTAACGGTCTAGAATTTGACCGTTTTGACTTCTGATTTTTGTTTTACAAACGGCTATATTGATCTTCTGGACAAGAGGCTGTCAACAGGACAAGTCTTCCGCAAATATAGATTTTTTTTCTTGTTTTTGAACTCTATAAATATCATCACTTTTTCCATTCTTCACAAGATTTCCAAGTGAATCAAGGTGAGATATTTTTATTTTAAGAATTCTTTGAGCTTTCATTTGCATTCATTTCATTTGTTTCTTCATATCAAAAACTTTGATTGATTCAAACCCATTAATCATCATTCTCATCAAAATTTTCCATCTTTCTTTGTGTTTAATTTATTTATATCATTCTTAAAAGAGTGGTATATTCTTGAAGAATGTATTTGCACTTACATTGCATAAATCTTTCTACTTCTTCATATTGAAAAACTTTGATTGTTGAATCAAATTTTTGAATAATTTCCATATCAAAGTTTTTCATATCTCTTTGTGCTCAACTTATTTATATCAATTTTAAAAGAGATATATTCTTGAAGAAGTACTTTGCACTTATATTACAGAAATTTTTCAACTTCTTCACATAGAAAACTTTGATTGGTTGAATCAAATTTGTAAAATTATCATATTCATCAAAGTTTCTCATTTCTGTCTTAGTACTTGATTTATTATAATCATTTATTAAAAGATAGATATTTCTTGAGAAGATTATTTGAATTTACATTGCATTTCATTCTTCATCTTCTCATCGAATTACTTTGATTGATTGAACTTCATTTTTAATTGTCATTTTCATCAAAGTTTTTCATCTAACACTTGAGTTATCATTTGTTACTATTCATTGGAGTGTTAATCATTCTTAGTACTTAATTTGTTTTGTATTATTTATCAAGCGAGGATTTGATTGTAAAATCACTTTAATAAAGTGTGAGTCGTGTTGAGATCCCGAAAAGTTCAAAATTGTGTAAGGATTGGTGCTCCTTGTTGTAAGTCACTATGTGGGTCATATTGAGGTCCCGTAAAGCTCAATAGTGTGGGTCGTGTTGAGGTCCTGTAGAGCTCAACTTTGTAAAGGATCGGTGCTCATTTTTTGTAAGTCATCGAAGCTTTGTATTGCACCGTAAGTCAATCAATATAGTGAAAAGGCCTTGCTCGTTTGGAAGATCTTGACAATGGAGGACGTAAATCATTGTTTTGGATCGAACCTCCACAATTATACCGTTTGCATTCTCTCTTACTCTCTTTTAATTATTGCTTTTATACTTACGTTCATTATTTAAATTTATCAATTTAGTCTTTACTTGCTTTCTTATTCGTACCTATTTGTTTAATTGACATCTTTACTATCATATTGGTTTATATCTAAAATTAATTTTTGAAAAAGTTTTAAAAACCAATTCACACCCTCTTAGTTAATCATTCTTGGACTTTCATGAGATATGTGTTGGAACCTCCAAATTTCAACCGAATACTTCATGATTTTTACTTCTTTCTTTTTTCTATCACTTCTCTTTTTTCTTTTTTTCCCTCTTTGTATCAGTGGTTTGTGATTTTGTTTATATAAAATGAAAATATGTTTTATATAGTGCTACATAATACTCCACTAAGTCCAAATTACAATTAAATCCCTCATTTTCAATTTTATATAACATTTAGTAATTAACTTCCCATAATTGAAAACTAAACTCCAAAATTTTATTTTATTCACTTTAACTCCTTATTCAATACTCAGTTCCTTATTTATGAACAATTAATTTTGATTTATTCAAAATGACATTTTGAATTAGTAAAAAAATTGAAACTTGAAAGATGTACCCACGTATCCTTTTTCGAAATTTGAACTCTTTTTAGTCAAATTTTAGAGGTACAAAAGGAATTCTCAGTAACAAAACATATTTTCCACAATATTCACCAAGTGTAATTTCAGCAAGAATTATATTTATATAAAATTTCCTACAAGGCACATCACGTTGCATAACCCTTCAGAATGATTGATATTCCGCAATAATACTACGAGACAATATAAGCTTCAATTCATGCGGCAAAATATCATTTGCAGGCCCTGTTCTAATTTGTCAATTGTTTCTTCATAGCTAGTCACGAGAAGAAATGACATGAACTAACTTCAAAATTGATTGCAATGGTAATGTAGATATGTGAAAGTACAAAGGAAAGGAGTCAGCAACAATATTAAGTCAAAATTCACTAAGCATATGCCCGTGATAGAAAAACGATCTCATAGTCTATATTGAGGAGTAAGGAAAGGGCTTCCACCAGAATGAGGTCTTTCTTTCATGCGCTTGGGCTTTCTTTGATGATGGGTACGCCTGTTGTGTTTTGGACATTCTGTGGGCTTTCGAGTATGCACTCACATCAAATTTGACCCCAAAATTATGTATCACGAGTGCGAAAGCCTGTATAAATCAATGAGCTCTTCAAAGCTACAGGAGACACAGGTAATAATATACCTTGTAAAACATCAATGAATCTTGCAGTGAAACACTTGTGTTTCAGGGAATTGAAATAAAATCAAATCTAAATGTCTCACTTTCCCCGTGTCTTTATACAAGAAAAATTGCTTTTATTCTACAATAGATAAATTGCTGTAGAACTTGAAATCAAGTACTAAAACTGAACAACAATGTTTACGTTCACATATTAATATAGGGATCAACTCTCTCATGAACGCACCACTTTCTTAAAACAATTTCAAATATAAGGTACATATCAGCCTCTCACCAAACAAGAAGAAACTAAAGCAGTCCTTCATTTAGTCTAGACCTATATAACAATCAAATACATTCTCAACTACAGATTCTGAATGATAATGAAAAAAGAGAACAAAAATTTCACGACATCCTTTCCATTATGTTTTCCAACTAAAATTCTTTCTAAATTGTAAAGGCTATGAAAACCTCAATGAAATACATAATCCCACTCAGACTAACCTGATTCCCATTAACATCTCCACTACCCAAAAATCAATTCCCCTATTACATATCACATCGAAAACCTCCAGCTTCTCGCACTTGAAATGAAATGCATGCAAAACATCTATTCAAGGAAATAACTTCTGCAAGCATAGCAAATAGACAAATAGATCATGTTTAAATCACAAGTATGTATACATTTCCGTGCATATTGTAATAAACAAGTTAATTAAGGCAATGTATCAAACATATAACGAGCAAACAAATTGAACTTCCACTTCTCATATAATAATCTGATTTCAGATAAAATTAAGAAAGACCAAATTAAAAATAATGGGTGAAATCTAATCTTTTGACCAAAATTTATAACTTACGCAGTTTTGAAGACTTCAAAGGAAACAAAAAGGTGAATATGGCTATTGGTATAGTAGAAAACTCAAACAACATTTGGATTAAGCAAAAAGTTTCGTCTTTCTGCAATTTTTCGAGCCTCTACATACACAGAAAAACTTAACCCAAAGTCACAGATGTTAACAATTTAGAAAGATAGCACATTGTACTTACCTTGTGTGATCCTTCCTGTTTCAGGACGAATTTGACAATGGCATGTTCATTAATAATAAACTGAAATTGAAAGAAATCATTGCAGGAACGTTGACAAATTATATTGTTCTAAATAGAACTAACCATCAAACAACAATCTTAGCAGCCTTCTGAGGTATAATTTGGTGTTGTCAATGAAAATGTATTAAGGCGTCAAAAAGATCCAAGGCATCATTTGGCAAAGTTTGGATATAAACCCCATATAAACAACAATATTTTTAATTTTTCAACATGGATTATTTGGAATACAAAACTTCTCTAAAATCTATAAAATCAAACAAGAATGTATGAACACCAAAAAATCAAAGTGTAGATTTAAAAGTTCATTTCTATTAGACTATTACATAAACTTCTCCAATAGACCTGCGATAAATATATATACTTTATACAGATTATAAATGTCCATGTTGGATGGAACAAAGTACTTGGTCTTTCAAGATTTATGGCACAAGTTAATATATACTTAAATAAACTATTGCAATCAACGACAACAGTAACCCGCGCTTGCACTGCAGCTAAAAAAATCAGAAAATCTAGACAAAAGGAAAAAATTGAAGGCATGAGAATTATACTTACGGATACATGTCGCAATTCCTTCAAATTTCTTTCAATAATCAAGAGAAAAAGAGAAACGGAAACAGCGCTGAATAGTGCAGTTGATTAAATCGGAATTCTCAGATCGTTGAAGGAATTTCTTTCAATTTCTTCAAAGGTTGCTAAATGAAGAAACAGCGCTGCAGTCGCCAATTGGATTTGAGAGGGATTTTGTTTCGCTTCTTTTCTACTATGGAGTGAGAAAGTTATAAATGGCATTGGGTACCACATCTATTTGCCAAAAGATAAGAGAGATGTTTAATAAAAAAAAAAAAAAGAAAAGAAAAGGTTGAACCCTAACCTTGAGGGTCCCACAGTCTCACCCCTAAAATTTTGTGAGGGAGGTAAATAACGGGATGTGCCCCACCAGGCCAGGAAATAAGAGTTGCATGTACACTGCGCTTATAAGGAGTCCAATTCCATGTTTCAGGAATTGAACCCCCACACTGCGACTATCAACAAGGCATGTGATAACCTCACTCATGTCCTTTGCACCACTAAACTATGTCCCGAGGGGTGATAAGAGAGATGTTTGATACATAGGGAGCATGCTGCAGGTTTACAGACCTCCTTGCCAAATAACACACAATCGCGGGCTCGACGTAATTTTTTTTTTTTTTTTATTTAGAGACCGACCCCTACAGTGAGGGGTAAGACCCCTAGAGGAAATGCTCTGTACGAAGAGCATTTTCCAATACATAGAAGTGATATAATAAACCATTAGACCTGATTTTGAGAATTAATGAAATGTGTATTTAAGGGTAAAATAGGAAAGAAACAAATGCCTCCTAAATGAATAGTGCAAGCAAGATTGCCTCTTTTAAGGTAAAGTAGGATATATATATATATATAGGGATGTCAAACGAGTCGAGCGGCTCGTTAAAAGTCGACTCGTGGGCTGCTCGGGCTAGTCATTTTAGGGGGCTCGATCCCATGAGCGGCTCTTGGGCCTTGTGCCCACGAGCCGTTTTGGCGAGCCCACGAGCTCGTGGGCTCCTCCAAAAAATTGAAATATTTTTAAAAATGGTGCAAAAAAATGTGTAAAAAAAAAATTAAAAAAACACGAGATGGCGAGCGGCTCGTGGGATCGGATCAGCTAGGCTCGGCCCACGAGCTCGTGGGCCGAACCGATCTCGTGGATTAAAGGGCCGAGCCGAGCCATCCCTATATATATATATGGTAGAATCGGGATTGTGGGTTGCTAGTAAAATAGTCGTCTCAAGTAATATTAGTGGACAAGAAGTCTTCTTGGATGATTATTTACACTATAATTGTCTCGATAAGAACCTTACTTTTAAAAAAACTTACCTAATGGGACAAAAACAGAGTAAAACATGATACACTTGATTGTCAAAACCTTGAGTGCAAAAGTCGTCTAGCTAAAAATTTGACAAGAAATCTAGTGGGACAAAAATGGAACGAAGAAAAATAAATTAAGACCACGAAATATCTTCATGTCAATTTTTTGAGTTTGCACATCCCTCTCTCGCACACCATTTTGTTTTTTGTTTTTTTGTTTTTTTTTTTTTTTAAATTAGTCTATGTGGAAGTCGGTAATTTTATTGCGGGTAAATCAATCACATTATTATTAGAACAAATTTGTCGAACACCAATGTTACTAATTTTCAAAAAGTTGTGTGTATAAAGGTATTTCGAAGATCGAAATTTCGCCTTGTCCAGGGATGGAGATAGTCCTAGAGTTTAGGGGACTAAAAATTCAGTCTAGTCCATAATGTATTTTTACCATTCTCATTATATAACTTGTGAGCATTATGAGATACAAGCACCTGCAAGTCCACCTCAAAAAATAAAGAGGGGCAAGATTCTTCATTTTCAATCGCTTAGCAAGGTTGTAATTCCGGTGCCACATAAACAGGTCTTTAACGTCATTGGAGACGGCCAACATTATTCTAGTTCATCAATCATCAAGCTGACAAGCACATGAAAATTAAATAAAAAAAAATTAATCAAGAAATTATCTAACCCAAACTTTGAACTTAGAGTGTGTTTGATTGCCTATATTTTCCATAAAAAAATGTGTTTTGTCTATTCAAATTCCTACTTTTGTCCTGATTGATTGCCATTTTTTTTCATGAAAAATATTTTCCTATTTTTGGTCACGTAACCATATTTTTCTCAAAATTAAGGAAAATATTTTCTTTAGGAAAGTATGATTTTATTTTCCACGGAATTCACTCTCTCTTATTTATCCACTCTTTCTCATTAACCCAACAATAAAATATGGACAAGTATAATATTTTCTAGGTTGAAAATTAAATTAATCAAACACATTTAATTAATAATTTCTATACAAATAAATTCTAGGCAACTGAATTGCCTATAATTTATTTTCTTTCCATGCAAGTTCCATACTTACAATCAAACGCACCCTTAAGATTTAAAACATAGATACCAAAGATCTCCAAAATTCGCCCATGTTTGTTTAGCATTAAAGTGTGAAAATGAATTTTGAAATAGTGAATTTTCAGAGAACGTGTGATTAAAATGTAGAAAATTTTTTTAATTTAGGTGAAAAATGTTTCATTGTGAGAATGTACGATTAAAAAATAAATTTGAAAAAAAAAATTTAAGATAATGATAGACTGACAGGGACTTATATTCATTCTTGCCTTCTCCCTATTATTCTTCACTTCTAAG